ACGTGGCACACTTGAATCGATGCCACGTTAATGCCACGTCAATTTCTGCAATTGCACAATTTCTGGATATTTGAAGGCGAGGGTATGGTGCGAAAGGCGGAATATAAGGTTTCACAGGAAACAGGCAGTCATTCCGCGAGCAATGACATCATGAGTTGATGGCGTCACCTCACTTTGTTCAGAGCTTTATGGACGAGGGTTGGAAGATTTTTAGACTGAGAATTAATGATTTTCTCGATTTTTGCGATCAGAGAAGTAGCAAGTAATTGACCTTTCGAGCCCAACAGCAGAACAAGGTGTCTATTAAATTGTGATAAAAGAAAAGGTTTATATTGGGTGGGATAAGCCAAACAGTTTCTGTTACAGGTTTCTACTTATGGTGGTCTACTACGGATTTACGCGAATCCTGATGAAAAAGAAGAACAGCGTGAAACGAGGAAACTTCAGGCTGAGGTGAGTGTTCAATGATCGTCTAACAAAAGGCGAATGTCGAGGGAGGATTAAAAAACAGTTGCGACAAGTTTTTTATAAGTCTTAAAATGTCCTCCATACGTAATGTTGACGGACGGCTGACGTACTGAGGGTGTCTTTCGGTGTTCTCACATTTTTCTTTCTAAGAATAGATCATTGATGAGGTGAAATAACCTGCAAGTTGCTGTTCGTATCATTACTTCCATTACCAATCAATACATGTATTGAAGGCTAAGCTCGATTTTCAATGTAAAGCTTCTAAGACGAATTCCGCGATTTTACCATGGGACCAATTTTTTTGGCAAACTAGTTTTCTGGGTCCGCAACCGCACGAAGAAAGAACTTTCGCTACACGTAACACGTAAAGCATTAACACTGACTATAGTACAAAATTACCTAAGGGAGCAGTAGTGTCGGTGTGGGTGGGTTACTTTGTCTCACTCGACAGAAATTTGTCTCATAATATCGCCTTATATAGTCGTCATCGTCTTACCAGGAAGGTCTTTCAGGGCGTGCCAAGCTTTTTGAAAACGGTCTTTTGCATGATATAGGGGCAGATGCGGGAACCACAGAACCATGTTTAATTTTTCCTGAACGGCCCTCTGAATACCAGAAAAGGGTCCCTCCTCGTGGTGACAAATTTTTGCATTTCGAGTTGACGTTCCAAAATTCGCGCAAAATGGAGTTAGCATGAATATTAGTACCATATTCATGATTAGGACCGTCAGTAACCCTTACAAAAAGACTGACTTCAAAATTGGTGTAAGAGGTGTGACACCAAGCAGCCCGCTGTTAGTCACACCTTTTTCACCAGTTTTTAATCAAAGTCTAATTGTAACGGTTACTGACGGTCCTAATCATGAATATGTACTAATTATTCATGCTAACTCCATTTTGCGCGAATTTTGGAACGTCAACTCGAAATGCAAAAATTGTCACCACGAGGAATCGAACTAGGGACCTCCTTTTCTGGTATTCAGAGGGCCGTTCAGGAAAAATTGAACATGGTTCTGTGGTTCCCGCATCTGCCCCTATATCATGCAAAAGACCGTTTTCAAAAAGCTTGTCACGCCCTGAAAGACCTTCCTGGTAAGCGTAATAAGCGATCCTTGAATTCATGGATACAGCACATTGAGCTAAAAGCGTGACCCATTGCGCGTCAGTAATTTCGCACGAAATATATGTTTTTGCCTTGTTACGTAGATTTTTTCATATATGAGCTTTTCTGATCATGGATAAAGAAAATACTACATCCATACCAGTACGAAATTATTGAAAGGAAAGTTCGTTTGGGAAAGAAATAAAAAAAAGAAGCGGTGGGTAACACGCCATGGTGCTCGTCACGTATGATAAGAAAAGGAACGTTAGCTCAAAAAAAACCGAAAAAGGATGGTAAACGGGATTGAAACAGTGTAGGATCAGAAACATCTCTAATCCCAACCTCCTTCTGACGTAGGCTTATTGAAACAAAAATATTGAACGAAGAAGCAAGGATCACAATGCACTCAGCAAGAGCCGACAGTCAGGGTAAATTGAACCTCCCCGCGCTCCGCAGACCTCTGCTTAGTTCCACTGATGTCAGAACGCCTGCTGATTATGGGTTACACATATTTGAGAATGACATGAGGTGCCTGTCATAGAGAATGGATTGTATTTCACATTTCCCCAGCATCGCAACCTCATCCTCATGCCGAAAATTTTTGATACTCTACCTTTTTCTTACGCAACGTCTTATGAGAGCATGCTCCATGGGAGGACGTTTGCTTGGCCGTAGTGATCGTTCGCGAGTTTAAAGGCATGGGTTCGCAACCTGACAGTATAATACGAGACAAGGGCTAATGCCTTCACTTACCGCTGCGATCGCTGCCATTCTTATCAGTCGCAGCATACGTGGATGTCTGCGCCCTCTCGCAGGCGACGTGCTCTCGCGTTTTCCCTCTCCTCGCAGCGCTGTGTCTCTCTGTTGCTTCATGGTCAACCACACAGGAAAAAAGTGCAGTGTTTTCTTTGATGCTTTTTGCTTTTTTCCCCGCCGACGTTGCTCATAGCACTTCTTGTTCAATTTTTAGATGAAATAGCGCACCGATTCGATCGCGCCTCGTGCCTTAGAAGAACAAACAATGATTAGCACAGCGCAGTTTCTAGGGTTTAATGAAGGGTGGCTTGGTTAGGATCGTGGTACTGCATACCATTTTCAATGCGCTTATGCCCAAATCACCCATCGCGCAGTTTTTGGAATAAAAACATTGTCAGATCCGTAGTCGTTACCCCTTGAAGCCTATCGGGTGGATTCCCTTCTATATACTCTAAACTTTTTGAGATAAGATATTTTAATAAAATAAAATTTGGCCTGTGCTACTCCTTACTGCTACTTTCTTTGAAGTTGAAAATAAATTTAGGTAGGTAATTGTTTTGTTGTTGTTTTGTTAAGTCAAAAAAATTTATCATGACCGAAGAATATCAGTGTTTGTTCGCTTTTTTGTGACATTTCAAGTCATTCTTATTAATGGATTTAGAGTAGTACAATTTCTCCATCAGCTTTCATAGCGGAGAACAGAATACTATCGATTTCCAGATTTTGAAAATATGCATTCAGTTCGTTCTAGTGGTGTAGCCCACGTTTATAAATGATGTAGCTAAACTCAATTTGAAGAAATGAGGGTCAACCCTGTATGGGGATTCA